TAACTGATGGACATATTGACAGGGGTAACTACCCAACCCTACAACTATAACTGCTGGACATATTGACAGGAGTAACTACCCAACCCTACAACTATAACTGCTGGACATATTGACAGGAGTAACTACCCAACCCTACAACTATAACTGCTGGACATATTGACAGGAGTAACTACCCAACCCTACAACTATAACTGCTGGACATATTGACAGGGGTAACTACCAACCCTACAACTATAACTGCTGGACATATTGACAGGGGTAACTACCCAACCCTACAACTATAACTGCTGGACATATTGACAGGGGTAACTACCCAACCCTACAACTATAACTGCTGGATATATTGACAGAGGTAACTACCCAACCCTACAACTATAACTACTGGACATATTGATAGGAGTAACTACCCAACCCTACAACTATAACTGCTGGACATATTGACAAGGGTACTACCCAACCCTACAACTATAACTGCTGGACATATTGACAGGAGTAACTACCCAACCCTACAACTATAACTGCTGGACGTTTTGACATCGGTAACTACCCAACCCTACAACTATAACTGCTGGACATATTGACAGGGGTAACTACCCAACCCTACAACTATAACTACTGGAAATATTGACAGGGGTAACTACCCAACCCTACAACTATAACTGCTGGATATATTGACAAGGGTAACTACCCAACCCTACATGTATAACTGCTGAACATATTGACAGGGGTAACTACCCAACCCTACTACTATAACTGTGTCACACATTACTGTGTCCTGATGTTGACTGATGATGTTAATTTATTCAAATTGCAATCCTAATTAAGATTTCATCTCAGCAGAGATGGCCATCTATATGCAAGCTGGTGCTTGTTTTACATAACGTTTAGTGGACGAATTAAATTTATGTGGGATACCGAATGTCAAAGGGTAAAGGGTAGAGGTGAGAAGGGGCTATCTTTTTCTTAGCATAAAATTACGCAGGATTATGTATTTTTTAGTAAACAAAAAATTCAATGTTCATTTTTAAAATAAATATTTCAACATTATGATTAGGTAGCTGTGACTCAAATAAATTAAAACGGGGTTACATCCCTTTCATCCCACCGTGTAGTAGATTTGAGTAGATTATCATGTTTAGGCTACTTCTGTGAGAAGCCCTGGAGCAGCCGATATCAGTAGATTTAATTTGTAAAAAGTTTCTTAAGAATAAAAACTAGAACATAATAAACACAATTTTCACAATATGTGTGCAGAGTTTGTCCTAACGTATAAACGATGTGTACATAATGTGTACACAATGTGGTTTATTTAAATTTTACTTGCCAAACTTCTTGTTTTGTGAATTTAGAACTAAGTAAGGGAAATAACTGTTAAAATATATCGTATTTTTGCAGTTCACGTTTTCGTGTTAAAAATGTTTTGCTCGTTCTTGCAATTTGTAATGGTGCTTAAATATTCCTAATTTTCATATGAGTAAAAGCAACTTATAACGGCATTAGCTTTAGTTTTTTTAAAGGTCAGATGTTTTGCAGGAGTAATAGACAGTACATAATTTCATCTGCATTATGTATTTAGCTCTGCTGTTTCGTTACTTATTGATCATCATCTTTCTAGAATTGTTTGTATTTAAGCTCTACTTAAAAACCCGAATTCCACCCCGTCCCCCCCCCTCCCCTCAGCCCATGTAATCACAATAGGTTGTTGCACGTAGTTTTTAAACACCACTAATTTCAAATAAAAACTCGTCAGTCGTCAGTCTGTCTAGACGGAAACGCAGGAGTGAAAATTCGGACAGTTCTACTTGACCGATACGATTCACAGTTGGCACGTGGGTCAAGACATGAAGACAATGCAATCTGAATCTAAATTTGACTTAATTGGATGCCTAATTAATTTTTTATGAATTAATTAAAATTTGGACCGAATTAGTAGGCATGTCTAGCCACGCGTCATCACCTTCAATAGCTGCGCCATCACGTAATGGCTGCGTTCAAAAACCATTGCGCGCCTACTGAACGTGATGTTCAGTAGGCGCGCAATGGTTTTTAGTCATGTAACTCTATTGTAAATAAAACATGTAAAGTACTGAAAAAAAAATTCATAAAAAACGTTTTAATAACAAGCTTTTATGTAATGATGCACTAAAAAGTAGAAAATAAATTATAGACTACTGTTTAAATAACTATAAAGAAAAGCGTGGGTGTCTTCCTTAACATTAGTAAAGGTATCCAATAGATACTAAAGTGACCCACGCTTTTCTTTATAGTTATTTAAACAGTAGTCTATAATTTATTTTCTACTTTTTAGTGCATCATTACATAAAAGCTTGTTATTAAAACGTTTTTTATGAATTTTTTTAGTTATATTGAGATTAAAGAATGTAAATAAATAGTACACACAATTCTGTAGAATAGGAACGATTGGGAGGGAAGTGACATTTAGCGCAGGAAATTTAGAGGATAGGTAAGGTATAATAAATGGTGGGGTTAGGAAAGTTAAGGGGTTCATTCTCTAATAGGCAGTCTATGTCTCTTTCGTGTTGGTTAATTGTCGAACCTGTCCTCACCTCACATCACAACAGTTAGCTGACGTTTACCGTGTAATGTTAAAATAAATAGCATGTAATTGAGTTAGCTCGAAGTGAGTTTAAGTACAAGCCCAACGCACTAATTAAGGTTGTCGCAAAATGTAACATATTTGTAACATATGTCAATGATGTCATTGAATTTTCATTTAAAAAAAAAAGATGTCTAGTACAGTTTACGAAACTTACGAACTTCGCCGATACTTTTTTGGTGGGTAGTTGGGTAGGTGGGTAAGTGGGTAGGCGGGTAGGTGGGTAAGTGGGTAGGTGGGTAATTGGTAGGTGGGTAGGTAGGTAGGTAGGTAGGTAGGTAGGTAGGTAGGTGCGTCATGATGTGAAAAAAATATTAAATACATAATTGTTATTGCGAATGAATGTTGTTACGAGAGATATGACGAATGCATGTTTGATGACGCGGATGAAAGAGAGTGAAGTTTTGCCGACGGGTTGTTATGGTATGCAAGCTAGGTAGTTCAGACTAGGGAAAATGTGAAAGATACTTCGTGTAATGTCGATAGTTTTATGTTTATTTATACGAGAATAGTAGTTGAATAATTATTGACCAAGAAAATAATAGGCATTGTGTGAAGCGATTATCGCCTGTATCATGGTGATAGAAATGCACATGGTAGTGGTACGCTTTAAATGGTAGTAGATCACGTGATCAAACACGACACTCTCACAGCAGCCCTAACAGTCATATATAAATGTGTCATCTAGTCCATAATGGTCTTTGTGCTAAATTTCTCTTTTGCACATTTTTCGTTGTGTTTTTTCTGGTTGCGAATTTTTCTGTTTGCGCTTTTTTTCTGTTTGCGCTTTTTTCCGTTTGCGCTTTTTTCTGTGTGCGCTTTTTTCTGTTTGCGCTTTTTTCCGTGTGCGCTTTTTTCTCTTTGCGCTTTTTTCCGTTTGCGCTTTTTTCTCTTTGCGCTTTTTTCCGTTTGCGCTTTTTTCTCTTTGCGCTTTTTTCCGTGTGCGCTTTTTTCCGTTGCGCTTTTTGTTTTGCGCTTTTTTTCCGTTGCGCTTTTTTCCGTTGCGGTTCTTTCTGGGAACCGAGGCAGAAGGACACATAGTTACTTGTGAAACTTCAACATGTGAAGTGTATAGAGGAAAACTGATTGAAGCAGAAGAAAACATGAACCGTCAGATGGCCAGTACGGGTCGGCGTGGTCGTGTCGGTAAAGCTCATGGTTGCTAAACCGAAAAGTCTCGAGTTCGAACCCTCGGGCAGATGAGGCTCGTTAGCTGGGGACAGCCACTCTTCTAGGAGATACAACTCCAAAATTAAACAACTGCTGCCTTGTAGTTTGTTCTTGGCCATCCAAAGGCTATGGAAGCTAATCCAAAAAGAAAAGCAAACTGAAATCGGAGTCAATGGCCTCAATGTGTTGGAGGCGTGGTCGAGTCGGCAAAAAGTTCATGGTTAATAAATTCGAACAAAGTCTCGAGTTCAAACCCACTGGCAACTAAATCTCGATCTCCTCCAACACTAATAATTAAGAACGAAGAAGAAAAAGAAAGAAGATGGCAAGTACAGAGTAACCAACAGAGATTGTAGAGTTGCAGAACTTGAAAATGTTTACATCAGAGGCAGCAAAATAAGATTTTTTGTGTTACCTGACATGTTAAAAAAATGCCCCGATGTTCAAGAAAGTCCAAGGCAAAGGTGGCGGTGCTGGTCGAAGAAAGTCTGCTATCTTGAGACCTCAAGCTGCTGGAGGCAGGGGACAGAGAGGAAGAGGTGGTGGAAATATCTTCCAAAGCGTCGTTGATGTTGATTGTTCCATCTCATCACTGTCTTTATGTTTATTTTTTCAATCTAATCATCATATTTGTCATTTTTCTTGCGTACACAAAATTTTTCAAACTGAAGTACATTTTCATTTTTGATGTTATAATAAAATATTCCATAAAATGAAAAAAAATGTAAACTGCGTGGCTTAAAATCTACTGTGGTGTGGGGGCTGTGGTGTGGGGGCTGTGGTATGGGGGCTGTCAGTTGACCAGTGTACGTTGACCAGTCTTTGGGCACCTGGGTTAGGTCTTATTTGGTGCCCGACGGCCATTTCACGCGCGTCGTTCACGTGTGACAAATTTGTCGCTCGCGGTTTTCGTCATACTGTCACATCCCATATGCTTTTTCTACCACTCCTCCTGTCATCATATGTCACATGTCATATGTCACATATGTCACATGCCACATCAGAAAAGAATTTAAGTTCTACACTTGCTTTTTTAAGAGTATAAAAGTAAAGTTTCCCTTTCAAACCTGACGGTCTATGGGGCAAGTGAAGTAGAGTTCACTTGTTTCTGTGACCTCGGCATATGAAGAGACAGTGTGGTCAGCACTATGCTCAGCCGCCTTTACTTTTTTAAGAGTATACCCAATTTAAAAAACAATCATTTACCAAAAAGTCAATTTATATGTCAAATTTTAATCACAAATAATTTCAACTTAATAAATAACAGCAATTATTTTACAGCAATTTACAACATTATTCTAAATCATTCTTTCACAAATGGCAACATTTTTTACACTTTCACATAATGGCTCGGTAAACAAAAGTTCATGCGGTTACTACTGGGCGGCATTGATATTGATGTAACAAGGAGTCGAGAATTTACTCGTGGTGAGCGATACTATAGCTGAGTATGTGGCGGCGACACCCACGACTGTTCCGATTATTACAATCTCGATACAGGCCACTTTCTGATGGAGTGGTGGTTCACTGAAACACAGACACGTATGGGATTATATCAGTGAAACAGACAAGTATGTGATTATATCAGTGAAACACAGACAAGTGAAACACAAACAAGTATGTGATTATATCAGTGAAACAGACAAGTATGTGATTATATCAGTGTACACGTGAGTTGGTCACTTCTTATGTAAAGATGAATTAGTCACTAGTCACGTACAGATAAGTTATTCACTCAGGTACACATGAGTTAGTTTCTAGTCACGTACACATGAGTTAGTCACTAGTCAAGTGTACATAAATTAGTCATTACTCATGTATAGGTCAGTTAGTCGCCACTCACTTACACATGAATTATTCACTATTCACGTGTACACATGCGTTAGTCACTAGTCAGGTGTACACATCGTTAGTCACTAGTCAGGTGTACAATTGAGTTAGTCACTAGTCAGGTGTACACATGAATTAGTTACTAGTCAGGTGTACACATGAATTAGTTACTAGTCAGGTGTACACATGAGTTAGTCACTAGTCAGGTGTACACATGAGTTAGTCACTAGTCAGGTGTACACACCAATTAGTCACTAGTCAGGTGTAAATATATGTTATGACTTACACCTTCTCCCAGTTCCCCGTCATGGAGCAGAGCTTGAGGTAAAATATTGGCGGCAAGATGTAGGCAAGAAGCGTCAGTGTGGATCCACCAATCAGAGACAAGATAGCCCCGAAGTGCGGGACCGACTCGGCCACAAACAGGACAACACCCATCATGACTGTCCTGAACAGCACTCTCTTAGGGCCGAAATCTGAGGGGATGGTTGAATGCTTGTGATGATATGGGTATTAAATTTTTTGTTTGTGTTGATGGTTTTCCAAAAAAAATGGTTACATTCTATCTGCCAACCGTGTTGAAGAATTCTCCCTAGAAATCCCACTGGCATCTGGTCAAGCTATCGATAGTATTTTATTTTGTTATCTCCCCTTTTATTATTGAAATTAGTAATTTTTAAACCAAATAGTCTATCAAACAAGATTTTTAAAAATTATATATTCTTGCATTGTCATCGCAGATTTGCCACAAACCCACAAACAAGCAACTGGGCATTGTGAAAAAAATAAAAGCTTGTAAAAAAAGAAAAAGAATCAAATTAATTTATAAGGAAAGACAACCATTAAACAAGATACAGAAGGGAGACAACCTTTACAAGCGATACAGAACGGAGACAACCTTTAAAATTGATACAGAAGGGAGACAACCTTTAAAACAGATACATAAGGGAGACAACCTTTACAAGAGATACAGAAGGGAGACAACCTTTACAAGAGATACAGAAGGGAGACAAACTTTAATTTAAAATAGATACAGAAGGGAGACAACCTTTAAAAGAGATACAGAAGGGAGACAACCTTTAATTTAAAATACAGAAGGGAGAGAACCTTTAATTTAAAATACAGATGGGAGACAACCTTTACAAGAGATACAGAAGGGAGACAACCTTTACAAGAGATACAGAAGGGAGACAACCTTTAAAAGAGATACAGAAGGGAGACAACCTTTAATTTAAAATACAGAAGGGAGACAACCTTTACAAGAGATACAGAAGGGAGACAACCTTTACAAGAGATACAGAAGGGAGACAACCTTTAATTTAAAATACAGAAGGGAGACAACCTTTAATTTAAAATACAGAAGGGAGACAACCTACTTTTGGGGATCCTCAAGAGGTCCTCCAGCTCCTGACAGACGGGGTTGATGACGATGATGAAGCTGCAGAAGATGTGCAGCGTGATGAGCACCTCTACCGTGTACTGCATGGGACCCGGCGACACGGACTGCAGGATGTTGTCGTTGGTGTTGATGCCGTACACCATGTAGCCGGTCACGGCCACGGGGAGGTACATGGCTAGCACGACTGTGGGGGGGGGGGCACAAGTTTTTCAAATCTCTTTGGGAAACTATCATACTATTTTAATGTTTATTAATTGTTAACTACTGTATTTATCAGATAACCAATGCAAGGGGAACAATAGGTGATTAATTTAATTACAATGAGTAAACAGTGCATTAATAGTGGATAAAAATATTATAATTATTGATAGTTATTAGTCAGTATAAAATAAAATAAATTTGAAACATTTTAGCTTATTTATTAGAAAGATTTTTTTTTACAAATAAAAATTAAAATAATTAACTCTAATCAGAACTCACTCATATATGAGATAAAAATAGCCAAGCCGAATTTCTCTGGATTCTTCATGTCTGCTTGGAATGTTGGGAAGGCTGGGTGACCACCGTAAGCGAAACAAATGGTGCCCAAAGCAAAGGCGAAGGACTTGAACTCCACTGGGGGGTAGAAGGCAGGGGGGATCCACTCCTTGTCTTGTACGATGTTGGTGACCACGACAAAACAGGCGATGGTGGTAGCACCTGTGGCACCAATGGCTATAGGCCTGAACAGGTACAATAGTTGGTCAAATATTAGCGTAGGTACAAAGTGTACTCAATGCACAACTTTAAGTTGACATATTGTTTACTATATTATATTGTTCCCTCCCAGATTATATTGTTCCCTCCAAGATTATATTATTCCCTCCCAGATCATAATGTTCCCTCCCAATCTATATTGTTCCCTCCCAGATTATAATGTTCCCTCCCAGATTATAATGTTCCCTCCAAGATCATACTGTTCCCCCCCAGATTATATTGTTCCCTCCCAGCTCATATTGTTCCCTCCCAGATCATATTGTTCCCTCCCAGATCATACTGTTCCCTCCCAGATAATATTGTTCCCTCCCAGCTCATATTGTTCCCTCCCAGATCATATTGTTCCCTCCCAGATCATATTGTTCCCTCCCAGATCATATTGTTCCCTCCCAGATCATATTGTTCACTCCCAGATCATAATGTTCCCTCCCAGATCATATTGTTCCCTCTCTGGTTAGATTGTTCCCTCCAAGATCATAATGTTCCCTCCCAGATCATAATGTTCCCTCCCAGATCATATTGTTCCCTCTCTGGTTAGATTGTTCCCTCCCAGATCATACTGTTCCCTCTCTGGTTAGATTGTTCCCTCCCAGATCATAATGTTCCCTCCCAGATCATATTGTTCCCTCTCTGGTTAGATTGTTCCCTCCAAGATCATAATTTTCTCTCCCAGATCATGTTGTTCCCTCCCAGATCATGTTCCCTCCCAGATCAGTTGTTTCCTCTCAGATCATGTCCGTCCCCCCCCCTCACCAGAAATCTTTGGGCGTGCCCAGCCAACTAATGGGCAGCAGGACCCCGGCCACTATAAACAGCCAGTAGCAGAAGGAGATGTCCTTGCCGACATCCTTGACCAGTGACTGGAGGTTTTCTGAGGCCAACAGCAGGAACACGACGGCCGCCCCGAACATGGTGAAGTTGATGGCGCATGACACGATCAGCCTGGGGGGTCAAGGACACAGGTTCAAGGTCATGGTAAAAAATTGTAAGGTAAAGAAAGGGAGGTGGGAGGGGGGAGGGTCAAGTTTTAATGGTTGCAAAATTTGAAGATCAAACTACATAGATAAGTAGGTTACAAACATTTGAAATGTCAATGTTACTGTTAAAACATTTTTCTGAAGATTACATATTAGGTTTCAATGTTTTAGGCAAGACGAAAACACGGACTTAGGAGTAGGTCAACACTTATTCAAGCAATAACGCAAGCTATTTATAGCTTGAAACTTAATGTATAACCAGGGCTAAAGGTGAGTACATACCTGCCAGGTTTCCCAAAAGTCACCTGTCCTATAGCCGGGTACGGGTACCGTGTCTCCTCCTGATATTCCTCGTACCTGTTCATCACCATCAGCCAGCACTTACCCAGCAGCATGCCGGTATAGGCCGACACAAGGGCACACAGCACGTTCAGCAGGATGCCGATGTAGCCTGATGGAATCAACAGTAGCTATTGATGTTCGGTTGTCCAATGATTCATTTTACAAAACTATATGCATGTATATATCAGAGGCGTAGCGACGGGGGGGGGGGTACACATATCCCCGGGCGCTGACCCTAGGTGTGCCAAAATGTGTTTGAAAAAGAAAATTAAAAGCTCATTTTAGCTGCAGTTTTGAATTATAAATATAAAAAATATATGGGGGAGGGGGCGCCAAATTGAAATTTGTCCGCGGGCGCCGGGAGGGGTCGCTACGCCTATGTATATATATATATATATATATATATATATATATATATATATATATATATATATATATATATATATATATATATATATATATATATATATATGAAGGGTATATATAATCGAGGAATAAGCCATTGATGTACGACCTGTCCCTGCTAGAGCCCCGGGGAGGGCTAGAACTCCGGACCCCGCCATCTCTCCCACCGCGAACACTGTTGTCGTAAGTAGAGTGAGGCCATGTTTTTGGTGGACTTTTCCTACCTGAGAATGGTGTGAGAACTGGGTAATGAAGATCAAGACTCCAAAGGGAATATATATATATATATATATATATATATATATATATATATATATATATATATATATATATATATATATATCTTGTAAGGGTATCAAAAGTTTATTTTAAAGAATAACTTTTTGAAAGAAAAATTGTTGAAATGACGTAGTACACAGAAGAAATAACAGACCTCTGAATTGAATGAAGTGTGCAGTTTTCCAACACTAGATACGTCATCCATCTCTGAAACAAACAGATCCAGGCATGTTTTTAGATTAGCCAATAATCAACAAGTTTAGTGAGATTGTTTTCTTCTACTTTTTTTATAAATATAAATTTACAGTTTTTTAATCTACCTCAATGTGATAGTATTTTTCCTCCGTTATTTGATTGTTTTGTTTCGTTGTTCATTAGGAAAATCATGATCTATTCCGCTTGTTACGGTTGTTTTTTTTTTTTACAACATTTACAGTTATTAACCATAGCACGTTCCACATACCTGTACATTATAATATGTTCTGCTGTGAAAGGATACTTAACATTTAAATCCATTTTGTTGTAGTGCTATCCACTACTATACAGACCCAACCACCTACATTCTAAAAGATTGACCTGTTTTTATTTTAATCCATACGCAATCTACGCAATCTACTCACTACCAAGACTTAGCTACCGACAACCGTAATAATTTCCAGAGTACATGACATCCGAATAGCGTAATGTAATCTTCACAATACTAAACCGCCGAATAGTGTAATATTATGCTTACATCAGAATATTAAATCGCCGAATAGCGCCATATGCTAGCCTCAAACTACTTATCAAAACAATCGATTATGCGCAGCTAAGGAAATAAAATTATGTGTATGTCACATTGTATCACCAAACAGGATGACCCACTTAAACATAAAAATAGATGAGTTACATTAATATGAAAATACATGACTCACTTCTATCGCACATATAGATTAATATAGATACCGTAAGATGTATATAGAAAAAGTAATCACTTAATTATATTATATCAAAACACTATATTAAACTGCATATTAAAAGAGATATCTCTGTTATATATTAAATGAGTTGAACTATTAAGAAATCAAAAGAGATATTTCACTTATATTAGTGAGGTGACTAATATATATATATATATATATATATATATATATATATATATATATATATATATATATATATATATATATATATATATATTAGGAGGAATATCTCAGTTATATATTTAAGGTGGCGGACTAGAAATTGAAATATATTTCACTAATTTAAAATGAGTTGATCTATATATTTAGAGCAATGTCTCAGTTATGATTAAATACTTTACTCACGTAGTTACTTAGAGAGAGAGATTCGGCGTATGTATTAAATTAAAAGAGCTGACTCACTTATATAATAGACCATCGTTGACTAAGACAACATAATAAAACAGTTGACATCCTCGACTAACACACCTGTTAGTTAATGATATGAAATATGAATGTGTGTGTGAGAGATCGTGTGAGAGTGTGTGTGAGAGTGTGTGTGTGAGGGTGTATGTGTGAGAGTGTGTGTGTAGGTACGGGTGTATGTGACTGCATCAAGATATGCACCCGTATGAAAGATAGCGATACAAACACATAAAATTATCATAGGAAGAAAGATGACATGACGAAAACACTATCGACACCAACGATTTTTATCATAAACTCCGCTATCTAGTTATGAATGTGTGTGTATATATGTGTGTTATCTGCCTACACAGTCAAGCATTAGATCTACACACCACCCAGCACACTCAGAAACCATAACACGAGTTTCAGTTTTTTTCTTTCCTGCTAAACCATCGCTCCTAAAAAATATCAAGTAGCAGCCCGTTGAAAGGACACAGAAAGAAAAAAAATATGTTGGGGGGGGGGGGGGGATTTATTTAAAGAACTAACGAAATAAATAAATGGTTCCAGAATCTGATTGTATAACCGCACCTTGGTGCATGGCTAGGGCAGAAAGTTGAGAAGAGCCAGAAGTTACCCATAACTATAAAGACAAGCGTCGGTCTCTTCCTAAATATTAATAAAGGTATCCAATAGAAAATATAGTGACCCACGCTTTTCTTTATAGTTATTTAAATATAAGTGTATTATAATTTATTTAAAGAAAATCCATTTATTTTCACCTTTTTAGTGCATTATTACATAAAAACTTGTTACTAAAACGTTTGTTTTTGATGCATTTTCTTACCATCTTTAATTTAACTTGCTGCTTCCTCAAAATTTCGAGCACTTCTAACTGACCCATTCGTTTCAAACTTGGCATTTGAGTCTAGACCCGATGACAAAAAGGTTTTCACTATATTATATTAGATACCTTAACTAATATTTAGGAAGAGACCCACTCTTCTTTTTGTAGTTATTTAAATAGTAGTGTATCATTATATATAGAGAGAAAATAATGTATTTTCTCCTTTTTTAGTGCATTATTACATAAAAGCTTGTCATTAAACAGTGCCCACATGAATGGACGTGGATTACAGATCAAAATGCTTTGGTTTGAATTAGATTTGAACTGTACTATAACAGTGAAATGTTAGTGGATTGTATGTTGGGAGTGTGTGTGTTGAAAAAGGCGATATTGCATCAGGGAGACAATGGCTGTGCGCATGCGCGAAAGGAAGCGGGAGGTATAAGGCAGAAGAAGAAAGATGACGAAACTGAGTGGTGTTTGTTGAGTAGTGTAGCTGCTGAATATCAGTGTGATATGTAGATCTAGAATTAATAAAATTGTGAAATCTCCAGTAATGTGGTTGGTATTTCCTTTTAGTTTATATCGTGAACCCAGTCACACAAAAAGGTTGTGACACGTACTTACTTATGTAGTCTCGTGTTCTATTACTCGACCTCTCAATAGTGTAATAACTGACGTGTACACTGCCAACATTCAAATAAAACAAACAAAATCTGACTATTTCCCCCAGCGACGCGAATGATTTATAATATCACCTTAACCTGAAAAGTAACACACATTATTGTAGGTCCCAGCATAAAACTGTTGTTTACTGGGTGATAACATTGAAACAGTGAGAAATGTCCAATCTATCACAGATATCATATTTATATATATATATATATATATATATATATATATATATATATATATATATATATATATATATATATATATATATATATATATATATATATATATATATAATATATATTTTATATTATCTATTTATAATATATATATATATATATATATATATATATATATATATATATATATATATATATATATATATATATATATATATATATATAATATATATATTTTATATTATCTATTTATAATATATATATATATATATATATATATATATATATATATATATATATATATATATATATATATATATATATATATATAAATAATATATATATATATATATATATATATATACATATACATATATATACATATACATACATATATCATTACAAATCAGCTATCATATACATCCATATATAAATAAGTCAGCTGCTATACACTATAGATCCAGCTGTTACACACATCTATATAGTTTTATATCCCAACAAGAACTATGACAACACGATCACGTAAGAAATTCCGTTATAAGGGGCTCCGCTGTGTCTTCACCTTCCTGGTATTTAAACAGTGGCATAACATCCGCGTTAGTTGCTCGACGTTTCTTTAAGAAAACCACCAGGCAAGACGTACTTAAAACTTTTTTTTTAAAAAGCGGAAATTATTTTTTATTTTGCCGTCCGTAATTTGATCCGAGGGGTCGTTGAGGTCAAATAATTTAATAACAATTTCAATCCCAGCCCAGCATTGCTACAAAATGTCAAAACCCTCCCCCCCCCCCAAGACAAATGATGTTGTAGTTCAGAGGTTTTTTGTTTTTTTTACTTAAGTATACGACCAGCTTTCTCCTCAGCATATTAACGACTTGGTCTAAAATTGGTTTATTGTTGAGTTATTAAAATTCACAAAAAAAACAACAAATAATAATGATAGCTAAAGCGATACTATTCCGACCTCCAACGTGAAACAGTAGAACCCCATAATCCACTCCTAATGGGGATCCTGGATGGGGGGAGGGGGGGTGAGGTTGGGGGGGGGGGGGTAGCTCGAGCTTGATATTGCACTGTTCTGACAACCAGCATTACCATCAAAGCAGATTTACATAATTACTATGTTACATAATTAATTATAAAAAAAAATTTAGAGTAAGTTTCTTTTTACAACTACCTTAGTTCCGTCTGACTGTAATTATATATATATTTTAATGAAGGCTAACACATAGTTATAATAAACATTGATATCCACATATTTAGTGCAGTGTGCAGTTAGGAGTTATCTAACTTTCCGGTGTGCAACTCATGAGTTATCTACCTTGGTTGTTGTACACAATGATAATGATGTCTGCGTGCTGTTCTACATTGTGACATGTCATTTCAGATTATTGTCCCACATTAAGATGCGTCATAATTGATTAGGGTCCCACATTAAGATGCGTCATAATTGATTAGGGTCCCACATTAAGATGCGTCATAATTGATTAGGGTCCCACATTAAGATGTGTCATAATTGATTAGGGTCCCACATTAAGATGCGTCATAATTAATTAGGGTCCCACATTAAGATGCGTCATAATTGATTAGGGTCCCACATTAAGATGCGTCATAATTGATTAGGGTCCCACATTAAGATGCGTCATAATTGATTAGGGTCCCACATTAAGATATATTATAACGGTTGGGGGTTCACTTTGTGACATGTTAGTGATACATGTAACATATTGTGAGATGTAATGGTTGAGTTAGGTCCCGTATTGAGTGAGACATGTCAAGAACGAAAAGTTTCATAAATAAATTAGTTACGCAATAAACATTCCATATCTTCTTCACTGATAACTTTTTTCATTTCTTTTTCCAAATACTTGTTAAATTACACTAAAAATCTTTAGGAAATGAACTAGCTAAATGATTTAAATCGTATGAACAGTTTGTGTTTTTGTGTTTTTTGATAATTTGATAATTTGGGTTAAAACTCAAGTCAAAGTTCAATAATAAGTATTAAATCTGGTAAATATTATGTGTTACTACACGTACAAATCTACTAATTTTCCAAATACAAGTTAATGAACTCTATCAAACAGACAATTAAAAAAAAAGAAGATGAAAAGTAGGCCGCCATTTGTAGAAAGTAGGCCGCCATTTGTAGAAAGTAGGCCGCCATTTGTAGAAAGTAGGCCGCCATTTGTAGTTGCAAATTGAGGTCTGTTCAGTCCAAGTGACGTCAGAATGTTAAGTGAAATGATTTTTTTTAATTTGTCGGACAATGAATCAGTTAAATGTGACTTCTCGTCAACTTATCTAGATACAATCAGATTTGATTGGCGGCTTATCAGCCGATTGATTAATGACACCAGTTGAGTTCAGTACAGCAGTAGGTCAACCTGACCTCTTACCTTAGACTATATGATATATATATATATATATATATATATATATATATATATATATATATATATATATATATATATATATATATATATATATATATTTAAAATGATCATACAAATTTTTGTTAGAAAATACCAGAGATACAGTAATCTATTCTGATCACAGTTTTGAAAGAAAAAGTTGAACAGAACAGGCCTGCATATCTTGTTCCCGTTTTTTATTTTTTAAATATACATTCACTTATTACATAACTTCTTCGATTGTAACTTTAACACAATTGCACTCTTTACTCCTAATTAAAGATGTGCATTACCTGACGCTGATGTGTGTATAGATATGTTCAGGTGTGGGAGATGAACTGCTGACCTCTTGCCACTCGACCCTACCACCCTCTGAAAACATGCATCTACAGAAACTCTAACTAGATCCGTACAACTGTGCCTTGGTTTAGCTTGAGGGCGGCCTGCTTTATTGAAAACCTCTTTGTCACAGGCTACATTTGCGTGGTCCTACGTTTGAGGGTAAATATGCTGAGGTCGTTTAAGGAAGTTTCTGTGCTGAGCACTTGATACAAATACATTCTTTCTTCCGCGGAACACGTAACAATGAACTGGACGAGCTCGACTTAGAGTGCGTTCGATTCTAACAGCTGAAAATAATTAGCATTTTTTTCGAAATCAGAAAAAAAAAGAAACACATAAAACAACTGTTCAAACATCTTATCTGAAATTTTTATTACATAAAATATCATTTAATCATAGACAAGAATGAAATGATTTCAACTACTAATCTGACTTCTCATAAAATAAACTATGAACTAAAACATTATTTTCAACACTCGAAGAAAAAAAAACTTCGTAAATATTTACAAAAGTTTTATGAATATATTTACAATGAAAAAAAAACCAATGTTCTTTTAATAAAAATGAACTATATTTTATCACAGTTTCAAAATAGAGTGTTTAAACACAACTGGTTGATTGAAGATTAGATTACACAACAACTTATGTTAAAATCTTTCAGGTTTCAACTTAAAATACTGTACATGTACACCCAATGGTGTAAGCTGCATGGTTTGAAATAACAAAATACCAACAGGCTAGTTTATATTGGAGTTAAACTTATATTTAAACAAGACGTAAATCAAGGTTGATCAGAGTAAAACATATAGTAATATATTGCAACATTACACCTTGTCTTGTTGAGTGAAAATAACTACAGTAAAACCTCGAATCACTGGCTAACAAAGTTTCAAGACCCAACGAATAGAAAGAAAACTATAAAATGACGTTTAAAGCCGACTTACCCCGCTCTATACATAGCCAAAAAAGTGTTTCCCACAAATATTCCCCAACGCTTTGAGGAAAAATGTATTAAACTTAAATACAATTAACCATTCAATAATATACGTAAGAAAATCACACACAATATATATATATATATATATATATATATATATATATATATATATATATATATATATATATATATATATATATATATATAAATAAATATATATATATATATATGTATATTAGTTATGGGCACTCAACAGCAATTGATGAAGAATGCACAACCCTAATGTCTATAATAACTAATGATACATCAGTCTTACTTGTACAGTACTTATTAAGATAAAGAAAATGACTATTCGTTAATGTTCTACAGGACATGAAGGGCATTACGCTAGCTTTATGACAGATCCCCCCTAAGACTAGGCATTTCTTTCAAAACTTTCCCATAATCAATTATTGCTGCTACCCTGGTTAGAACACTAGTAGTTTACAGCCAGGGGTGCCACTCATTTTTTAAGTGAATCCTGAAAATGAATCCCAAAATTTTACCAATCCTGAAACTAAAATTTGAAATTTTTGAAACCCTGAAACTTAATTCCGCGCGGAATTTCAAAATAAAATGGACTATTATTTCATTATTTTCTGAGACATTTGATTCATATTATGTTCAATTTACATTCCTTTAAAATGGATTTATTTTCTTAGTAACAAGCTTCAAATAAAAATTAATCTTTAAAGGATTGTGCTTACAATAAAATTAGTTTACAATGTTAGTCCCATCTCTAGGCCTACCCCATAATGTGCTATTGAACTTCCCTCCCCCCCCCCCCCCCAGCCAGCTTTTATAACAACTATTTAATTTTTTAGAACTTCCTAGCTTGAGTTAAAGTGTGTAGTCAGCCAACTGTTAAGTAACAAATATTTTGCTAACCTCTATGTCTTGTTATTGAATAATAAGCCCACTATATGCAGACCCTTAATAAGATTGTCACTGTATTAAAATACAGGGTTGACTTACTGTAGCTATTCAAGGCTTTAATTATTAGCAGCCACAACAAAAACCTTAAACCCTGTTTTCCCAATCAACACCAATGGGGTCATCCATAAATGATGTCACGCTTTATTGACGATTTTTACCTCCCACCTCCCCTCGGTCACATATCGTCACAAAAAGCCAGACCCCGCCCTCTAAAATGACGTCACACCTCAGCCTACACCCCCCCCTAAAAATTGCAGTCGAATATTTCTTAAAATACGATATTTTTCCAAAAATCTTGCTTGACCTCTGTCAACATAAGAGTATTTTAATCAATTCTCAATTCCTATTACACTTTATTGAAACAATATTCTAAAACGCGAAATAACGGCTAAAATTCGTTTTCTAACATATCTTTTGGTTAATGCAAAAGTGTGATGTCACACCATCTGAACCCCTCCCCCTCATGACAAAATTACGAACCCCCTTCCCCCTACGAGTGTTACATCATTTATGAACGACCCCAATGCCCCCACCTTTGATATACATGATCGTGAAATATCGTGGAAGTTTTAAGTTCATGTCGCGGAATAACAAAATTAAGTTAATTTTAAAAATAATTTTAGAAGTAACTACGCTAGTAATACTCATGTCAGAGATGTAGCCGCCCGACTAAGTGAAAAGCTGATTTTTTTTTTACAAGCGGTTGGGAGGGGGCAGTGATAGCGGCTATTTTCTCAGACGCGGTACTTCAAGGTTTTTTAAACATTTCAATGACGTTTTACCAAAGTAAAAAAAAATTAGATGTAGACCCTGCTAGATTGTGTAACTAAATTATAGCAGGCCTACATATTTTGTTTAATGATATAAAACGATGCAGTTCTAGTTTTTTTTCTTGAATCTAGAAGAAGTCCCTTATTAAAAAAATAACCACGTTAAAATTAAACAGCGCTTGTACTTGTAGAACTGCCTTGACCGAGAGACACGACTCAGACTGTGTTTGCGTGGTCTCGTGACGTAGGTCTTACGGTCAGAGCGACCTTGAAGAAGCGGGTAAGAGGTGGTTAAAAAGTGAGGGTAAAGTTGAGTGAAAACAGCACAGTTCTATTTCATACATAAAATAGTCCTTCAAATAGTTTTTTTTTTCTTTTCTTTTGGTAATACCAAATACAAAAAAAACAAAAAAAAATGTTTTGATCGGAGCAAAATCTTTCGGTTGTTTTTTTTTTAAAAGACGATCGGCGATGCTAGTGAGCTAGATCTAGTAATTGTAGGATTTAGTTGTTTTTATTACACAGCCTAGCGATATCCCATTGATGACATCACGTAAATAATGCGAGTTTTACCCCCAACCCATATAGTCATAAATAGCCAGACAACCACACCACGACTGACATCAAAAAGTTCCGTCTACAGCCTCACCCATCTGATACAGCCCATTTGTATTTGGTCCTTGGCGCACGCGTGAGATTGTTGCTGACGTCATTTACTATTCATTTTTTTCGGAAAAGGTCATTAGCGGGAGTGTTGACGATAAAAACGATTTTTACAATGCCAAAATTTTCAAGCTTAAAACGATCTAAATTTTTTTTTTTAAACTGCAAACCCGGAAATTTTCAAACTCAAATCTTGCGAATCCGGAAAGGGAAAAAAATATGATTCTCCAATCCGGAAATCCGGGATATCCCGGAAAAGTGGCACCCCTGTTACAGCTACAGTTTATAAAACAATGAATGCATGCAGCAAATGAGTGAGGGGGTACCATTAGAGGTACGCGAGGACGTCCGGTGAAACGTGAAACAAGATAGTTACTACTGTATAACAGGTGGGGAGAAGGGCAAAAGGCCGACATTTGAAATGCTTTATAGTCTGCCGGCCTTCTGTCCAATCGGCCATTTTGATGTCGGTCTTTTGTCGTGTCGGCTTTTGGTACGTGTCGGCCCGTTTTCCTATTGGGCTTTTTCCAGGTGTTGGCTATTTGACCGTGTCGGCTTTTTATCTGTGTCGGCTATTTGATCGTGTCGGCTTTTATTCCGGACCCGAACAGGTGTTCTGTGCCAGCAACACTACAGGTAACAGGGTTGACACGACACTACAGGTAACACGGTTGAGACGACACTACAGGTAACAGGGTTGGGACGACACTACAGGTAACATGGTTGAGACGACACTACAGGTAACATGGTTGAGATGACACTACAGGTAACAGGGTTGAGGCGACACTACAGGTAACATGGTTGAGGCGACACTACAGGTAACATGGTTGAGATGACACTACAGGTAACAGGGTTGAGGCGACACTACAGGTAACATGGTTGAGACGACACTACAGGTAACATGGTTGAGATGACACTACAGGTAACAGGGTTGAGGCGACACTACAGGTAACAGGGTTGAGACGACACTATAGGTAACATGGTTGAGACGACACTACAGGTAACATGGTTGAGACGACACTACAGGTAACAGTGTTGAGAGGACACTACAGGTAACATGGTTGAGATGACACTACAGGTAACAGGGTTGAGACGACACTATAGGTAACATGGTTGAGACGACACTACAGGTAACATGGTTGAGACGACACTACAGGTAACAGTGTTGAGACGACACTACAGGTAACATGGTTGAGACGACACTATAGGTAACATGGTTGAGACGACACTACAGGTAACACGGTTGAGACGACACTATAGGTAACATGGTTGAGACGACACTACAGGTAACACCGTTGAGACGACACTACAGGTAACAGGGTTGAGAGAAGCTGCTTGATGCCAGAGATGCCACGGCCGAGTAGGTGGAGGCCACGCCTGCTATGGTTCCTATGGCGATGATCTCAAAACAGGCGACCTTCTCGTGGAGAGGGGCCTCTCTGGAACATCAACATACACTGGTAAACATACAGTATCACGGTATGATAAATATACACGCACCGATACAGTGCGATGTATATATATATATATATATATATATATATATATATATATATATATATATATATATATATATATATATATATATATATATATATATATATAAATTTATATATATATATATATATATATATATATATATATATATATATATATATATATATATATATGTCAAAGCAGTATAATGAAGACACATACACCTATGTAGTATGTAGTAGCCAATTTAAGAATAATGAATAGCATTCGCGAATAATACTATAAGAGGTGACTACATATACGAACATAAATTACAACACAACACAGTTATTAATACGAGAGTTATTTTTTCCATTAGAGAAACTGTACAAACAAATATATCCTTCTAGTTGGTTCTTTCATAAGCCATAACTAACTCCGTGAATTAATTCTCACTAACTGATTCGACACCAAGTTAATTATCTCGCGGTAATTATCCTAATTAGGTTTGAGGCGATGTACTCACACTTTGTCCCAGCTTCCCTCCATGGAGCAGAGCTTCAGGTAGAAGACAGGTGGGAGCACGTAGGCCAGCAGCGTGGTAGTCGAGCCACCGACCAGAGACAAGATGGCGCCGAAGTGAGGCACTGACTCGGCCACGAACAGGGTGACCCCCATCATCAAGGTTCTAAATATAACTCGCTTGTAGCCGAAACCTTAGAGAAGAGTAGTTAAGAGATTAAGATAATTCATGATTTAAACACGGAGTATTATTTCTTCAAAAACATGAATTCGGATTGCAATTTAAAACACGCTGTTTCACTTTTCATTAATGCGCGTTTTTACAGCGTTTCAATGTTGAAAAATGTAATTATCTTACGTTAAACAAAATTAAAATATTAACTTAAGTACATTAAGGTATTAAATTGTATTAGTAGCTTCCCATTTAAAACCTTAAACGATCTAAGGGAGACAACCAGTAAAAATGTTGTCCCAAATAGTTAAAAGAAAAAGAAAATCAGTAGTAATGAAAATGATAAGCAGGGCATTGCTTTTATCTTCTGAAACACGAATATTTAAATTTGCAAACAACTATGTGTTTAATTATTAAAATACTGGATAGCAGAATTATCAATTTATTTTAATTGAAATGTATAAAACCAGTAATAAATATTGTAATTATTTAATATATTTAGTTTTGAATGTTGCTTTTCATTAATTAGTAAAATAGGCTGACTAACCAAAAGTATCATTCACATTTTAAATCGGAAAATAAATACATAAATAAATAAAATCAAATTTTTAATCCCTTTCACTCCCCCCCCCCCCCCCCCCCAACCAACCGGGCTGTCGGATAAATCAAGGGCAGCGTACGCTCATCGCCAGAGGTCAATTTTGTGTCATGGAAAATTTTGAAATGATAGTATGCGTATTACAGAGACCCTTTTCCCACGGTCGTTGGTGTTTCTGGCCATGGGTAGCTACAATGTCAACTTTTGACTTCGCAGCTGAGGATGGAGCAGAGTAAACTAAGCAGTCAAAAGAAACAGTTGCACACCTTACTTAAGTCTAGTTCTTACTAACTATAAAATTGATGTTCATGTCTTTGAAGCTGTGTAAAGCTACCAAATAAATTATTATTACTATTTTTAATGTTTAAAATAAATAAATAATTTTTTTTTAAAAATGTGGGATGGCTGCTATAGATATAGATGTTTGAAAGGGAAGAATGTGAGATTTGATGTGCCTCATTGTAATCAACATAACTTTTTCCGGCTGCTTAAAATTTGTATCATTTTAATTTTCTGTAATCCCAAATTTATTTCAGCTCTACTTTAAAGCCCAAACCCCCCTCAGCCCATGGAAAAAAATCCAGTGAATCATCATTTAATTACACATTAGCATCTTCAGGTTTTTTTAAATAAAAATTGTAATTATAAGTTTTGTGTTAGATCGATGTATGAGTAAACCATCTTTAAAGAATAAAGGTAGGCTACAAGTAAGCAACAAGTATTACTATCGTAAATCTGTATCAGTCCTCGCAAGTCGATGATGAAAACTGTAATACTAAAGCGAACATGCAAGGCAAACTGACGCTGTAAATTACGTGTCTGAGGCGAACAAAAAAATGTTCATGTTTTAAAACGAGTGTGGATTCTAGTCGACCTCTATTAAATAAATATTAACTGTGATTTGGTAAATGTACACACTTATATTACTAGGTCATCGCCGCCTCGATCGAAAAGTTTCATCGTTGACTAAACAATAAACTACTGTTACTTGTTTACTCTTCTATCCGTCTTTTAGTCTTAGTATGATTATATCTGTTCACAACTCAGGTCACATAAGGGGGTAGGTGAGAGGAGGTGCCAGGAGGTGCCAAGAGTTTGGCTCTTTAAGGGGATAAGCAGTGGCAGCACTGACTCAGGATGGACAATGGTCAAGTAAGTTACGTATAGGCTGCAGATAAAATAGCGTTTACAATGACACAACTACTAGTGATGAGTTACAAAGTCCAATGTCATCTATAACAGTGTTTCTTCCAGACTTTTTTCTCCGGGGGGGGGGGGGGGGGGCGGTAGACTTTCTTCGGGGGGAGGACACCGTTGAAAGTATATATTTTCTATATAAATTATATAAATTTCATTTTGTTCGGGGGGGGGGGGGGGGCGAAGAAACTCTGATCTATTAACTAGAAATTAAAGTATTTACTTTGCCGCAGAAGAATATTAATTCGTTGATTATTGTCATTAAACTTTCGCATTTCGATTTTGGACAGTATTTGAATACCAAACATCTTCTAGAATTAAGCCAAAAACAAAAAAGGAACTTATTCCAACCAATATACTATTTCCTTCATACGTAATGTTTAGTAATATATATATATATATATATATATATATATATATATATATATATATATATATATATATATATATATATATATATATATATATATATATTGTTACGACCACCTGGTGTTTAACCTGGGCTGACCCATATGTTGGGGTAGCGATCTCACGCTCATCCATCAACCTGGCGGTGGTCAGAGGCTGACCAGTGCTGGCCGTGAGAACCTTTGGGCCGTGACGGCCACACCGGATTGGGTACCACGCTGTGGGCAATGCATACCTGGTGTCTTGGGGGACTCGGCTATTAACGTGGCCAACAGCCCATAAATTACCTGGTGACACCACGGGCTGACCGTTGATGCTTGATCTAGGCTAGTGACGGTCCGTGTTTTACGGCTGGGAAAACCTTCCAGTTCGCACAGGGCCGAGATGGACGGTCATGTCCTGACCTGACCTGACCTGGGGGTCAGGCTCGATTAACAAGGTTCCCACACTAGTCTGGGACGACTTGAGTACTTTAGGAGGGTAGACCGGAGACTAGGGGGACACTCTCGACAGACTCTCGGGACAGACACACGAAGACGGACGTACTCGTCTCGGATAGCTAGGCTTAGGGGAGACAGACATGGGGTCGTCTCTGTGAGCTAGTGGAAAGCCACGACATGTTTTAGACTTAGGCTAGGCTAGACGGTTAGGGACAAGTAGGGTAGTCGTACTAAGTACTTTAGTTGTTGTAGATAGTTGTGTATTTTTCCTATTGTGTTCCATGTGGTGGCGGGTTAATGTTAGATGTTGTATTTTGTGGCGAATAAATAGAGATTACTGAAGTTGGCTTTTATTTATTTTTATTTTCTTCTTCTTGTTTACGATCCCCTGACTAGTTCGAAAGGATTAGAGAAGGGGGTGCGTAACAATTGGCGGCTAGAGTCCGGGATAGGACAGACAACGAGTTGAATAGTTTCTTTTGATGCCATTTTCAGTTGGGGGCTCACGAGCTTGTGTTTTAGTTTTAAGTTTTATGAGTAGTGAGAGTAAAGTTGTTCACGGAATCAGGAGAGTTTTCCAAACATTGAGTAAGTAGCGAGCTTATCACCTTTGTATTGACACTGAGTTTATTTTGCTTGATTTTTATGTTGGTCCAGTAGAGCTGGAATTTTTTTTGTTGATTCAGTATAGCTGGAGGGATTAATGCCCAGTATACTCGAATATTTTTGTGTGGTCCAGTGGAACTGGAGTGTTCGGGTTTATTCAGTACAGCTGGAGGGTCATTCCCAGGTACGTGAATAAATTCGTAATTTTTATTTGGTTTGCTCAGTATAGCTGGAGGGTCAATTCCCAGTATACGTGAGTAAATCGTTTGTGATCCAGTGTAGCTGGATATCTTAGTTTGGTTGGCCCAGTATAGCTGGTGTCTACCTATTTAAAGTGTCAAAGGTGATAGCCGTACTTTTAATGTTTAAGTTAAAGTTTTTGTTGTGAGCCACATTTTTTAGTAGTTAACCGCCACCATTTAGCTGGATAAGTTCCGTAAGTGTGAATCATGGACGTAATGAGTTTTATTGAGTGTCCAACTCTAGAAGTTTTAGACAGGTTTTGTCGCTTAGAGTTGTTGTGTCTAGTTGAGCAGCTAGGACTAGAGGTTGATGTCTCGGATAGAGATAGAGTTCTACGAGATCATATTTGTGTTGAGTTGGTAAATACAGGTAGATTAGAGGAGGAGTGTCTAGACTCTATAGAATATTATGAGATCGGGCGTATTAGGGTTGAAGAAATTGAGAGAAAGTTTCAAGTTAAGTTGTTAGAGATCGCGAGAGAAAAAGAGGATAAGTTGTTAGAGATCAGGAGGGATATATTCATGTCAGAATCTTGGAAGGAAATTAACATTAAAAGTTTAGAGAAACTGTTCGGGCATGAAGTTAAACTATTAGAGATCAGGAGGGAACGGGATTTACTTAGGCTATGGGAGGAGGCGCATCTTAGTGGGTTGTTTGACTTTCCAGAATCTGTCTCTGTTTTCTCTCAGGCTAGTGTAGTAGTTTCCGAGGATCGGTATAGAGATGAAGATAGTTTGTTGTCTGATAGAGTAGGTAGTGAGTTTTGTCAGTCTCAGACTAAGGCTGCCACTAGCTTTGGCTCAGTCCCTGAAGTCGACTCTAACCTAGCAGAATCAGCACAAACGTCAAAACGTGCTGATAGCTTACGAGTCGAAAGTTGTCTGCCGACAAGTACTGAAGGCAGTCAGCAAATTATTGGTTTAGATAAAATCACGGCGACCACTCTGTTATTGGCCAGTCATGAAAAGGGGCTGTCAATATCTGACCCAGTGGATACAACCACCGATGATATAACGGCAACCACTCTGATGTTGACCAGTCATGAAAAGGGGCAGTCAATATCAGAACCAGTGGTTACAACCCCCGCTGAAATCACGGTAACCACCGAGAGAGTGAATACCCATGAGAACAGGCTGTCCTCGTCTGAACCTGAACCAGTAACTGTATCTGATCAAGACCTTACTACTTGTGGTCTTGAAGGCGTCATGACCTCACCTGGAGGTCACGTGGATGGTGTTCTACATCCAGAGATAGACGAGTCAACGAATCTTTTGCCAGCCTCGGTAACAGACGAAATTGTTACCCATTGTCTTGGAGGTGAGCCTAACACGGGCTGTCCTCCCATGATCCCAGCAGTATTTGATTTCTCCCCGACCAAGTCCAGCAACCTGGAGGCCATGACCTCACCTGGAGGTCACGTGGATGGTGTTTTACATCCAGAGATCGAGGAGACGGTGAATCTTTTGTCCGCGTCGGCGACGAGCCAAGTCATTACCTCTTGTTTTGGAGTTGAGCCTAACTCAGGCTTCCCTCCCCTTATCTCGGAGCTGATTTATTGTTCTTTGACCGACCCGGGGAAGATCGGTAATGTGACCTCAGCGGGTCACACTTCTCCCGTCAACCGAGAATGTGTACATGTGAGCGCATATCACCTCACTTTCACAGAGACGGGGCGTGAAATCGACCTCTCTTTGTGCGGCTCGGTGTATTTGTTGTGGGCGGATAATATCTCCGTCACTAAAATTGTGCTGCGACGTTATAAAGTTCGGCTAAAGATTTATATTTACGAACTCATGATGACCCGCAAGACGGAAACATAAGGACAATGTGTACCTTTGAGTTTCAAGCCTGTTATAGAACTGTTTCCTATATTGACTGTTTCATGTTTTCCCAGGATGCAAGTGTTCTAATCAAAATGAACTGTTTTTAGGCTTAAAGAATGTACCTTTTACATGTCTTGTTTGAAAAAAAAAATTGTTATTAATGTTTTACATGCTGTTGAATTCGTGACAGTTTTTAATTGTATTGACAAGTTTTGTTGACTGATGACGTAACTATCAGTAAAACGAAGACTGTTGGTTTTCAATCTTAGCATTATTTGCGACAGTGACACATGTGTTGCAGATTTGCTGTTTTATTTACTTTGATGTCTATGTTTGATGACATTGTGTTTGGGGTATTTAGTCAAACTTGCTATTGTGACTAAATCATTCACGTTTCTTATCTTTTTAGTAATGATTATGTTAAATGGATTTAGTCCCATTTAGGTTTATTCTGGGACTTTTGAGGAATTGTGAGATTGGTATGGTTGTCTAGTAAGAGAGGTTCAATTAATTCACCATGTGGTGGCGAATTAATTTCTTGAAGGGTGGGGGTGTTACGACCACCTGGTGTTTAACCTGGGCTGACCCATATGTTGGGGTAGCGATCTCACGCTCATCCATCAACCTGGCGGTGGTCAGAGGCTGACCAGTGCTGGCCGTGAGAACATTTGGGCCGTGACGGCCACACCGGATTGGGTACCACGCTGTGGGCAATGCATACCTGGTGTCTTGGGGGACTCGGCTATTAACGTGGCCAACAGCCCATAAATTACCTGGTGACACCACGGGCTGACCGTTGATGCTTGATCTAGGCTAGTGACGGTCCGTGTTTTACGGCTGGGAAAACCTTCCAGTTCGCACAGGGCCGAGATGGACGGTCATGTCCTGACCTGACCTGACCTGGGGGTCAGGCTCGATTAACAAGGTTCCCACACTAGTCTGGGACGACTTGAGTACTTTAGGAGGGTAGACCGGAGACTAGGGGGACACTCTCGACAGACTCTCGGGACAGACACACGAAGACGGACGTACTCGTCTCGGATAGCTAGGCTTAGGGGAGACAGACATGGGGTCGTCTCTGTGAGCTAGTGGAAAGCCACGACATGTTTTAGACTTAGGCTAGGCTAGACGGTTAGGGACAAGTAGGGTAGTCGTACTAAGTACTTTAGTTGTTGTAGATAGTTGTGTATTTTTCCTATTGTGTTCCATGTGGTGGCGGGTTAATGTTAGATGTTGTATTTTGTGGCGAATAAATAGAGATTACTGAAGTTGGCTTTTATTTATTTTTATTTTCTTCTTCTTGTTTACGATCCCCTGACTAGTTCGAAAGGATTAGAGAAGGGGGTGCGTAACAATATATATATATATATATATATATATATATATATATGTGTGTGTGTGTGTGTGTGTGTGTGTTTGTGTGTACGTGTGTGCTTGTGTGTGTGTGTGTGTGTACAGGAATACCGTACCGGTGGGTATATTGAGCAGCTCCTCACACTCCTGACACACGGGGTTGATGACGATGATGAAGCTGCAGATGAGGTGAAGGGTGATGAGGATCTCGACGACGTACAGCATAGGACCCTGGGAGACGCTCTGCAGGACATTGTCCTGCGTGTTTATACCGTAGACCACGTAGCCGCTTACGGCAACGGGCAGATACATCAGTAACACGACTGTAATAAAAACGGCATTGTTTATTCCACATTATGTGGCAGAGTTAAATAAAGAAGATATACTATAAGGGAACACTTTTTGATGCTAGTTTGTTTAATAAAATGGGAACAGTAATACAGGTGTAAGCAAATTATGTTATGGGGTGGGGGATTAAAATCCCCCCCCCACCCAAACACACACACCCCTATATATATATATATATATATATATATATATATATATATATATATATATATATATATATATATATATATATATATATATATATATATATATATATATGGGGGTATGTCTTACTTCACTTTCCTGTAACTCCCACTGCCAACTCCGCTGCTGTTATAGCCTTATTTTCATTATACTCAATTAGTAATTAAGTTCTATGGCTAGACTTAAATTCAGATATAGTAAAAGAAACGTTAATACTGAGCGTTTTAAAATGTATCTTGTCTATAAAATAAGGGGCATAAGATCGCTCGCTTTAAGATAGTTTCCGAAAACATTCTGAAGCATCCATACATCTCTACTGAATAAAACTAAGACTTTTTAAAAAAAATATTATTAAATCTTTTAAAAGTAGATTTTATTTGTACTCACTCAAATACGAGATGAAGATGGCTCGCCCAAACTTCTCTGGATTCTTCATGTCCGCCTGGAACGTTGGGAAGGCTGGATGGCCACCAAAGGCGAAACAGATGGTGCCGAACGCGAAGAAAAATCCCTTGAACTCGATGTTGGGGTAGAATGCTGGGGGACCGTCATGGCCGTCCATGATGATGTTGGCCAGTACAACACAGCAGGCGATGCTGGTGGCTACCACGGCACCCACTGCTATAGGCCTGGGGTAGGGTGTGGGGGGGGGGATATTGTAGATATTGTCTTAATATTTCAGTACAGGGTGGGGGAAACATGCTCAGATAACGTCTTAATAGTTCAGTACTGGGAGGGAAGAAATATTTTAGATAACGTCTTAATAGTTGAGTACTAGGAGGGAAGAAAAACTTCAGATGTCTTATTGTAAACATTTCAGTACAGGGAGAAAAGAAATAGTGTAGATATTGTCTTAATATTTCAGTAAAGGGAGGGGGAAAAATAGCTCAGATAACGTCTTAACACTTCAGTACAGGGAGAGAAGAAATATTTTAGATATTGTCTTAATACTTCAGTACACGGAGGGAAGAAATACTTCAGATATTATCCTAAGACCTCAGTTCGACGGGGAGGGGTTAAAAATCGAGAAAGTTCCCAAAAAGCATGACCCCGTATTTCATGCACCCAGAAAAAGTAATCGATCCTGTTCAACAGTCTCCCAGGGTATCCCATGAGAAGGCAACAGTACCCCAGGTTGTTACCCACCAAAAATCTTTGGGTGCCCCACCAGATAGAGAGTTACACACCAAAAATCTTTGGGCGTCCCCAGCCAGGTGAGGGGCAGCAGCGCCCCAGCCACGATGATGAGCCAGTAGCAGAAGGAGATGTCTCTGCCGGCGTCCTTGACCAGGGACTGGATGTTCTGGGAGGACAGAAGCAGGAACACCACGGACACACCAAACAGGGTGAAGTTGATGGCGCACGACACGATCAGCCTGAGAAGACACGTTTGTTTCAATTTATGTTGAATAGAGGAAATGGCATTGGGTACATTACTCAAATATTTTAATTTTTTTTTTTTTTAATTTGAGGAGAAATTAAATACATAGAAAGTGTATTATTTAACTTCAAAATAAGTACAACATTTTATGGATTAGCTAGGCGTTAATAAATTTGCCCTCACACAATAAAGTTATCTGCATATAACAACGTATTTAAGAAGAACGTTTTGCTGATGTTTCTGACTTTAAAATATAAATCGTCTCATGGAAAGTACACAAACACACCACTGAACTAACTAGATGATTGTGACGCAGAGATGTGTATGTAATGATGGCAGTATACCTGATCTGACTAATGGTAAATTAGGACAGAGACAGTTGTGAGTTGATTCAGGATATTGTATGGATAGCTTGTATTTACGATGTACGATATGAGTTAGAGAGTAGGCCTACTTGCTATTTGAATTGTGTGTTGTGATAAATATAGTGCAGTGCGAGGATGGCGTAGCAGACAAGACGATGTATATATAGCATATAGCTCCATAGTCTAATAGACCTATCGAAGGGATTGCCGAAAAAAGGAAACCAGAGTTGGTAATCCTACCCTTTTTTATTTTGGAGTAATCTCTGCTAGGTGGAGCCTAATCTGCCCGAAGGTTCGAACTCAGGACTTTCGGGTAAGCAACCATTCCAATCTGCCCGACCACTCCGAAAATGACGTACTCATAAACTTAAAGTGCAGTGTTTTTTTTCTGACATATTTCTACGGGAAAGGGAGCACTTTAAAGATTCAAGGGGGTAGGCTTAAATATTTCCGATGGGCGGGGGGATACTCACTTAGGTATTTAGTTTCTATACAACTTATAACATTTTCCTATATCATTGGTGGAGGGGACAGTAAGCGTTTAGGCGGTGAAAAGGACTACCATTTTTTTTGTCATCAATAAATCCATGTGAGTAGAACCATTGCCCACAAACTGTTGATTGAATTCACGGAACTAAGACATCGCCATCCACAGTCACAAGTTGAAGGGAGACAACAACAGAAGCAACGAAACAAAACAAGAAACATAACCCTGTTATGTTAATATTAGTCATACCTGCCAGGTTTCCCAAAAGTCACCTGTCCTATAGCCGGGTACGGGTATCGTGTCTCCTCCTGATATTCCTCGTACCTGTTCATCACCATCAGCCAGCACTTACCCAGCAGCATGCCGGTATAGGCCGACACAAGGGCACACAGCACGTTCAGCAGGATGCCGATGTAGCCTGGGGGAAAAGATGAAACTTTGTTTATACACAGTGGTTACACACTCTTTTGTATAATAGTGTAAAACTATTCAAAATCACTACTCGAAATGTGTGAACGAAAAAAAAATCCTTCCCTCTTTGTATTAATATTGTGTATAAACTTCGATGAAAATAAAATGTATTTCTGCCCTAATCATCCGTGTACATGGGATCAGTGTTTCTTTCAAACTTTTTTCTCCGGGGGTGGGGCACTTAATATTTTTGTGGGGGGGGGGGGGGGGTGGGACGAAGGCGGACGCAATTTTTTTAAGGGGGGGGGGGGGAGGCGGACACCGGTTAATGTGTATATTTTCTATATAAATTCCAATTCGTCGGGTGGGGGGGGGAAGGGTGGGGGGAAAGGGGTTTAAACTTTCTTGGGGGGGGGGGTGGTGGAAGAGCCTCCCCCGTTCCCGAAGATATGCCTGGAAAAAATTCTGCATGGGATAAACATCAGAGTAAAGTTAGAGAGCTAATTTTTTTATGGGGGCTGAATGATCAATAAGAAAATGTTGGCGAATTGTGTAGCGGCCCGTTGGTGATAACAAAAAACTAAAAAAAAAAACAATTTCCTATTCTTTTTTCCATAATCTAACCGATAGATGGTCCTTATTACAGCTGGGTGGGCTCAGAGGACAACCATAATAGTGGTTTGAGTTCGGAGCTGTGACCTTGACCTTACCTGTGCCCTTCAAGGCTGAGGGCAGCGCCAGCACCCCTGACCCTGCCATCTCGCCAACAGCGAAGACAGCCGTGGTCAGCACGGTCAGCCCATGTTTGTGGTGCCCCTTCAAGTCGCTGTCCTGAGGGAATACAGTTCTGTACATAAACATCATACAGGGAGACAATCCTGGAAAAAACATCTTTTAAAGGGAGGTAATTCTTTCTTGAAGCAAGTACTAAAAACTTGAAAAACATGCCATAAATTAATCTACATTCTAGATCTTGGAAGGGGAGACAACTTTTCACGGGGAGGTAACGCTAACATGATCTTAGTATTGCTAACATAACTATACTTTCGTAAAGGGAGACATGCAGAGGCGTATCCAGGTTTTCGTTGTAAGGGGAGCGAAAAGAGCAAAAAAAGGCGCCGAATTTCTAACACGTTCTATATACGTGTATTATATATATATATATATATATATATATATATATATATATATATATATATATATATATATATATATATATATATATAATATATATATATATATGTATATATATATATATATATATATATATATATATATATATATATATATGTATATATATTATTCGTATACATTATACTTAACACCCCTCTTGCCAAGTGGTACTACCCGTAGAGGTTTTTTTAAACATTGCAATGCATCGTAATAGTTATTTTTAGAATGGCAGACTGATGCAGCTGTTAATACGTGTTGTAAACGTAGACACTACTAGACTAGTACAATAATGCTTTAATTGCTGCATGAAAAGAAATCTTGTGATTTACATAGATGTGCCGACCAAAAATATTTTTTTGACAAATATCGTTGTTTAAAACTTTGAGTTTAAAAAGTTTCCAAAAAGGCGCCACTTTGCTGAAAATGGTCAGAGGGGGAGCGGCAGCTCCCCCTGCTCCCCCCCCCCCCCCCCCCTGCGTACGCTACTGGAGACATGGCTATCATATAATTTTGTAACCTGGGACAATGCAAGAAAAAAACACACAATTACACAGAAGAAATTCGAACAAACCCGACGTAAACCCAACGAAACAAGCCTACCGTTATACTTGTGCGCACGTTAACAAAGGAAAACAAAAACTTACTTCAATGGTGAGAATGGTAGAGGGAAGTTCTAGAGAGCCAAACTATGAAGGGGAAAAGGGAGACTAATGTAGGCCTATAGTATTTGTTATTACCCCTGAGCTGACAAGCCTAGTGATTTCATCAAGACTCGTCATCTCTGAAAAGATAAAATAAAAGGTCAAAGTTATCTGGACAGATACTAGGCCTTCCTTGGAAAATATTACACATTAAAGTTATTTGTATCGGTGTAAAGATTGCAATAGGTTTTTTAACTGATTTCTTTATAAATTTTATGATTATTTTAAGTTATTATCAATTTCTTGTATGTATTTCAATTGTTCTTCACAAAATGTATTGTGTATTTAAACTGTTAAATTTACAAAATGAAATTATATTTTAACTGTTATATTACAGAATGTAATGTGTATTTAACTGTTATATTTTTTTTAAATGTTATATGTGCTTTAACTGTTATATTTGCACAATGTAATGTGTATTTCAACTGTTATGTTTACACAGAATAAAATGTATTTTAACCGAGTTCTATACATGTACAAACAAAACAAGTATCGACAACCCCTGACCCTATTATCAAGTTGCGTGAACTTCCTTGGTATCAAGTGGTCTTTGTGTCTCAGACGTTTTTCGTATTACAATTTATATGGATCACAAGTACTTTAGCCCCTTCGTTTATCACGTGATGAATAAAAAGAATAGTCAAATACCTAGAGACTTAGTTTATTATAACAAGTCTCTACTTGACTCCCAAAACATTCACTAAAACGTGGAGATAGCTCTCGCATTTTTATTGCAATAACATCTGGTAATAAGCCCACTCTCGTCACAATCAACGTAGTGTATTTAACGTAATTTGACTCTACCATAAAACCGTTATTCGCACCTGTGACTGGAGGCCACATTAAGCCAGAACAATGCACCTGATAGAAATTAATCGTCATAAACTAGACTTCATAAACAGGAAAGGCTGTCTGTATCACATATGTCACGTACCTCGCATACTAATCACGAGCTCGCCACACACACACGAATATGGGGAGTTGTCACTCATTAGAAGAGGCAAATCTTGCTCATTTCATTTCAGGTGGAGACAAGTCTAAAACAAGCTTCACTTCTCGAAAGGGACATAAGTCTCGTCAACTGTAGGCCTAAGGGGAGACAAATATTGACTACTATCATCACTGTCAAAGGAGGGTAGGATACTAGGTCTGATTAATACTTCGGGGTGTGCTAAGCAATTCATAATTTAGTCGTCCCACTTCCTGCCCATTCACTTTAATCTGCCAAGAACATAATGATTTTTAATTTAACGTTGATTCTTTGACAACTTCTAAATATATTCCGTGCAACGTGTCTTGTTCAATATTGTATCAGGATAAACTATCCAGCCTGTCGTGTATCATTACTTATTGAATTAAATACAATCATGTCTAATGCATTTGTCTCAGAACTGACGCTGCATTTTCAGACATGTGAGCAGTCTGTTCCTAAGACCATCATCCCATCCCTGTGACTCAATGGTCCATAGGGGGGGGGGGGGAGGGCTTTAATATGTTACACCACCTTCTTCCACGTATTGGCTCAAGGCTGTCTCCACATTGTTTAGGTGGATGCCTGCCTTTGGATCTTTAACGATCGCAGTTTTCCTTTTTGTTTTACTTTTGTCACTAGGGACTTGAGTATTTTCCTTTTCCGTGAGTTAAATGTGTTTTCTGTTGTTTTATTACATGTGAAGGTTTCACCGGCATACTTTACCTTTTTACAAGCTGCTTGCCGATTTTAGGTACCTGTTGATATGGACTACATCCTAGCGAGACGAATTCATTAAATCTAATCGTTATCTCACACTTGGTCTGTATACTCAGTGGCTGACGATACATCCACATTTATTTGTAACATTTTAGTTTTAGTGTGTGATACCACAGTGGCGAACTGTGATCTCCCCCCCCCCCCATATTAAAGAAGGGGTAGCTTTGACCCACCTGTGTTGTTAGCCACAATGTGCGGTACGTTTACCTGTACACCTTGTCACATGTCAATAATCTACTTCATTGGTTAGTTGTTTATATTACTTATATACCTTCAATGTACCTTGCGCATTACGTAAGTTTTAATTTTACCTAAATATGATATAATCTGTAGCTTAAGTTAGAGTATTAAAAAATAAAAAAAACATAGCACAAGCTATTTAAAAATAGAACTAAAACGCAAATTATATACAAACCAGAAGTCGAACGTGTGCACACAACCGGATAGCATACAGTTATGTGCACAGAGGTACGGCGGTTTGACACACGCAGTCATGTGTGACCTGGTTCAAACGACAACACGCAGTCACGTGGTGTCTCACTACACAAGACGTCCGGTGGGCGGTCACATGACCCCATTCGCTGACAAGTGCACTTCACGTCAAGATTACATGACGTAACACAACAGGCAAATCATTGCGATGTGATAACCATCTCAGCAGACGATCCACTGACATCTTTAAGGCCATTCAACCTCCGTACTTTCTCAGTACCGGTACAGAAGCTTAGGACGTAATGGGTTGAGGTGCCCTTTACCCAACAATGACGTGTCAGCTCCTTAGGCTGCGGTTACACTATCCGTCGGCAGACCGAATTTTTTCATCTGACGTCAGGTGTTGTCCAATCTGCCGAAGAGGGGTGCACCCCAGCGGTTACACTGTAGCCCGTCAGAACGTATGTCTGACCACCGGCAGGCATTGGTTTCAAACCAAAAAATCGACGAACAAATGCAGATTCATTTTTTAGCAGAAAACAATGATGCTTCCAAGATTATTTTGCTTAATGAAAAGGAAAGAAAAAAATCATATCGGTAATGTATTTCTCCAAAGAAACGCTTGGTTTTGACATTGAGGCAAGTGTCTTTGTACAGTTAATTCTTATTAAATAAGATATTTTGTTACAGTAACTGAGTAAGTTGAGTAAGGCCTATTCTAAATACCATTAATTATTAGAATTGTATGTTCTATATAATCTATACATTTAAAACAAGTAAAATCTAAGCTATAAATTTGGTTGCAATACCTCAGTAGTGGGGAGTAGATCTAATCTATAACTATAAGGTCTTGATTCTATGTTCTGGCCTGCGTTTAGTGCTAAATTAAAATAATTTCATTTACAGATAGGCCCCTCTCTACAACTGTATTGGCCTACTAATATCGAACTGTCCATTCATCTATCACCACAATTATCTATGAGACATGTGATATTATGTAGAGATGCCTCACTAAAAAGCATGTACCATTACCAACAGCAGCAATGTGCCAAGGCCTTTGAAGACTGAAGACACCATCTGAAGTATTATGGAACATTGATATTTAATTGAAATAAACTTCTTTTTGTTATGTTTGTTTTATTTCTATTATTCATAGATAATAATATAATCATTGGCCGAATCACCTGATCAATATCAATGATTCCTACGAGTTAGGCCTACTTGACTAACTTTGACCTAGTCCTACTTGCTCCTTATAGAACATAGGGCCTCCACCATTTCCACCAGTTAGGCCTACTGGTTAGACTTAATTTTCTAACTCAATGTCAGTTACATGTTAGATTGTTACAAACTAAAATGGTATTGGTTTTTGATCATTTAAAAAGCATAATTCATTGTTTTAATTTATTAAGCAAATCTGTAAAACATGTTTAAGTAGCATGATTAACAGAAATACATCTCATAAGACACAGGCCTCATTGAATTCTTATTTTAACAACTGGTATAGGTAATTCTCCATTACAGTTTAGGCCTGCATTTGAAGACCTCTTAAAAATAATAAAACAGTAAACAACATACACTTTTCAATTAATTTTTTTATTCAGGCATAACACAAAATTAATTAATCCTGGGTCAGGATCTTTAGCAATTGCTTCTTCCACAACTTGAATACAATTTGAATCAGTGTCATCAAAAATAAAATATCTTTTAAACAATGGTTTCACTCGATACTGAATTGAAGTTGAAGGTATCTGTATGCTGCTTATCGTTTGCTTGGAAGCGAAACAATCATTCATAAAGGATAATTGATTATAATATGTCCATGGTTTGTTTGGAGCTATACTGCCAGTTACTCTTTTGTTGCTAATCTTGATATGCTCCTTTCTAAATGTATCAAGCAGGTTTTTCCACTTGGTTTTTGCTTGTGCACCTGAAATGAATTAAATATAAACATCAGTTTAGACTGATTGTAACTTTAATGTGTTGGATACATATAATTTATATGTATGCCTACAGGCTATAAATGAAATAGGTTTCTAGATAGAAAAGGGCGGATAAAAAATAGTTAGGACTGTAGTGAATTAAGTAACCAGCTCATTAATTAATTACTACTACATCTAGTAGTCTACTCCTAGGACCTAGATCCAGACTTTTCTATCATAATTGTCTGGGCCTAAGCCTAGATCTTGATTCCTATAGACAGTTATATAGATCTAGTATTATATAGTAACATTACAGTACAGGAATCTAGATCTATACTCTTAATTTAGATTAGATTTAGGCCTATTAATATAAATTTAATTATTAACTAATATTAACCTAAAAATAGATTCAATGGAAATAGAATAAATTTAAATATAGGCCTAGGCCTATACTATTATACTTCATACATATTATTATAGATCTACCAATAGTCCTATAGATAATAATATACATAGAGATCTAGATCTAAAAAGAATCATAGAATACTAGAAAAATAGATCTATGTCATAGATTCTAGATATTAGAATTTAGATAGTTATAAGATAGACTATCAGATAGCCTGAGATAGGCCTAGCCGAGAATGATAGATTCAATTTTAGAACCAAGAGTAGAGAGTCTACTACTAGAGACTAGAGATTTAGTATAGATCTAGTTATCTAGATCTAGCTCTAGATCTAGAGTCTAGATTAGTCTAGATCTAGAAATAATCTAGATCTAGATCTACGAGTTGAGTCACTTTCACTTGAGTCTTGAAGTGAAGTGAGTTGAGTCCTCAGTTGAGTGAGAGTCGATAACCAAAAAAAAATGTGAATGAATGATAAAAATTAATCAATGAAGTGAATAAGTGAAATAAATTACTTAACTTGTACATCCGAGTTAATCGGCTATTTCAGACCTTTAATTTTCTCTCTTGAGTAAGTAAAAATCAGCTTCTCTGTGTCAAATACTACAACTTTCTGTTCAAACTGAAGTCCTCCATTTTATATTTTGTTTATCCCTGCCAGATAAATTTTCATCAGAATGTGTTTTCCGTCAGAACAGAAACAAAATTTTAAGTTCCTCATCAGGCGCCTGACGTAGTCTGACGACTCGGACGATGAGTTCGGATCTAGTGTAACCAATAGAACTGGGTTATACTTTTTGTTTGCTTTCCAGTTGTTCGGCCGTGTTGTCAGAAACAGAAATTCGGACTGCCGACGTATAGTGTAACCGCAGCCTTACTCTGGTGTCTCACGTGTAATAAAAATCAGTACACCTTGTATAAACTCAACATTTCCACTGACCACAGATAGCATTTTTCAGACATTTCACACAAATAATAGAACACAAACAAAAACATGAAAATTTTCAAATTTATTTACATGAGTTTTATCACCAGCAAAGTTGTATTTTATTTACATGAGTTTTATCATCAAACATAATATCAGATTTACAAAAATAAATAGAAAAAGTGAGAAAAGCCAGTATTAAATAACAATTGCTATCCCATTTCTGCACAAAACAAAACATACAACACCCACTTAGTTTTTAGTTGAAAGAACATGTTGAGGCTAGTGTTCTCACAGCTGATAACCCAAAACTTAAGCCATTCTGGACAAGGAAGTGCATGGTTTAGTATGTCTGACATGCTACCACACGATTAACCCATTCGTATCTACATGGTCATAAGCCTAGCAGTATCAATAACACAAAAATACATTTTTTAAATACTACATTTTCAATAATGTCTTAAGATTCTACAACAGCTAAACATAATCAATTGTAAACTGCCTTAATCTAAATCTATGTTTATGGAGACCAATAATTCTAGCTTTATTGTACATCAGTATTCCAACCAGGAGTGGGGAGGGCGAGAGCATTACCAACACTGTGACACCTTATAGTGAATGTTTAACATTGCAAACGTATAACTCACACAAAAAGTATGTGTCTAAAAATCCCATACGTTACGTTACGTCGTGTCACATATTTTATTGCTAAAAAATTGTGTAGCTTTAAAAATGTCATTACGTTAATCAAATAATGGTGCGAATCAATGTCAATTAGTTGATGAAATTAGAAATGAAGAACACATTTACAAAGTCGACACACACAAGTATGGTGATCAGAGCCTGCCTTTCAGTGCAAACAGTTACACTACTAAGAATGATTGTAGCTCAGACTGATCGCTAATATTACATTAGTTAATGTGACGATGATCGATTAAAATGTAAACACTGTGTTAACTAGGAGAGTCGCTTCCCCTGGTAACTTTGCATGTTATGCAAATGAAGATTGAACCCCGGATATCCAGGAAGTATGAGGATAGAAAAAGAACTGGAATTGAAGGAAAACAGACAGAAAAAGAATTGAAGGAAAAACATAAGTATTGAAGTAAAAAACTTAAAAAGTATTACAGCAAAAAAAAAAAAAAAAAAACAGATCGAAAAAATATTGAAGGAAAAACAGAAACAAAAAAAGAACAGCTCCTAAGTATTGGGAAATACTATTAGTCAGAACTTAGATGCAATGAAATACTCAAAGTTAATCCCTAAATTTGAGGAAAAGAACAATCGTAGGAAGTGTGTAATATACGTATCAGAGTAACTGGGTACATATGAAAGTGGCGTAAAGAAATAAAGAACGTACGAAATTACGACGCACATGAGAGATTATGTAACTATTAATTAAGGCTACTGTTTAAAAAAAAATAATTGTAAAAAATTAAAGATTTAAAAGTTTTCTGGCTAGGTTGTTTGTTTTATATATGCTGTTTCAGTTTTACAGCTGTGTGATTTCAATCACAATGGTAAAAGCGTATTTGTAAATGTATAGTTGTATTTCTTGGCGATTTTTTTTTCTCGTTTTCTTGGCGATACTGCCTCTTCTTAAAGTCGCTGAAATTTAAAAAGTGCCATTTATTCCATTATTATGAACACTACACAGGATATAAGAAATAGAGACCGACTCAGTCATCGATAACTGAAAATAATTCTGAATGATAAATAAGAATCAACAGCATTTAAAACAAAAGAGATTTAGGGTTCAATGAAATACTAGATCATTCAGCTGACCGCTGACGTCCAGAGGCGGAAACGAGAATTTGCTACAACTGTCATCAACAAGGACACTTAGCCCGTTATTG